AGTGGGGGTAAGGGGGTACCAAAGGTGATTGTAATCACAGTAAGCAGGAAATACCTTCAGCAGCATTCTACATTGTTTCATTCAAATCCAGCTAACAGAGATGAATCATATCTTAACATTCCTCAAAGAATTTCATAAATTTCAGCGAATAACTTCATGCAAGGAGGTAACGACATTTCTTCATGTAGTCAGTTCAAATCACGTTGTGTTATGTGACATTCTTTCAACTAACTTCAATAATAACATATAAAGATAAATGTATGTTTACAATAATGTCACCTGTCGATGACGACAGATTGAAACCGGTTGGTGAAGTTAAGTGTCCTTTGACTTTTTTTTTTCCCGACTTCGCCACTTGGACCTCACGGCTCAAAGGTTGAATTGTTCAGTGGACGGAAATTCAAATTCCTGCTTAAAGCAAAACAGAAACAGAAAGTACAAGAATGGAAAAGAATCCATCTACTGCCAAAATAGCTCGTTGAAAAAAAAACAAGTAAGTTACTACCTTTGTGATACATTGTGTATGATTCGTTTGTCGTATTCGATTCAGCATGGCTCAGATGTGATCTTAGTTTTACTGTTTGGTGCTTTCTACCATCTTTGTTACTGATTTATTGCTTTACACTTTGTATGCAGCGATGGCTGTTTGAAAGTGCTCTATAAATACAGTTGAGTATTAAAATCTAATGACATGTCTGAAAATTGGTGTCGATGAGGGAGTAGTCAAAAGCCCCTTCGATGTAGCTGTTCTTTTTTTCATGTGGTATCCGTACAGGAAAGCTTTGTGGCCGAAAAGCAGGCACAGTAAAAATTAACTATTCCGTTCCATCAAAAAATCAAAAGCTCTTTATCCTTTCCAGGTGCAGTTACCATGCATGTGTGTATGTATGTATGTATGTATGTATGTATGTATGTATGTATGTATGTATGTATGTATGTGCAAGTTATTGCAAGCAATACGATTCCATTTCCACTAATCACATTTATAAATGTGTTAAGCATAGTGCACTATCAGACTGTTTCGTATTATTATTAGACATACTGTATAACAAGACATATAACTTTTATTAGACAACCAACAACAAAAGAAACTCAACTCAAAACAAAACTCGCCAGTCTTCTTGACCGCCGTGGCCAACGCCGTTGGCTGGCGGCAGATTACCGTAATGCACAGTATTGACAATCGCAGTGGCGGCTCCCTTGACTTTACTTGTGCGAGTGGAGGCTGTCTTGACCGCGGTCTCTTATCCATGTTGACATAGTGGATTGGGCGTTTGTGCGCCACCTTGTCACGTGACCCTGCTGCTGCAGAGAGTCATACAAGTGGTTTTCCGAAGGGGCGAGGGAGAGGGGAGGGAAGGCAAGGGACTATTCGCGACTGCAGAGGTTGGCAGGAGGGGCGGGGGGATAGACCGATTCCTGACAACACAGGACAAACTGATTCAAAACAAGTTCTATTTCAAAATGAACGGAGAGGTTACGGTCATGTTATGATGTCGACGCCAAAGTGAAAGACCAAAGAAGCCCAGCTGCCAAGAAGCTGAGAAATGGACCAAAGAAAAAGGTATGCCGATTTCTTGAGTGAGTGACAGTAGGCTTTAAGCCAGGGGTGGGCAATCCCAGTCCTGGAGGGCCGCTATCCTGCATGTTTTCCATCTGTCCCTGTTGCAACACACCTGATTCAATTGTTCAGGCCTCGACAGAGCTTGCTGATGATCTGATCATTTGAATCAGGTGTGTTGGAGAAGGGACAGATGGAAAACATGCAGGATAGCGGCCCTCCAGGACTGGGATTGCCCACCCCTGCTTTAAGCCATATAGGCGATATATATTATTAGTTTATTGCTAATATGTTGCTAAGACACAGAGGACGACTGTATTTGCTATTTGGTTATGCTGAGCTAGCAACTCTTTAGAATTGAGGCACGTCATGCAACTGATTTCACCCATAGGCAACCGAGTTTAGTTTGTGTTTGTAAGTGCAAATTCATGCAGGCGTCCTGACTTGACTTTTTTCATTCATATCCGCTATATTTTAAGCCACGTGATAAAGCATTTTAAATGTGGATGCTATGTTTGAATCCGTATACATGTTGTTTTTTTGTGTTTACAAAAGTTAATAAAATGTGCATTCTGGTCATTTTTATTTAACGTGTGACTGCAATGTGATCTATTTTACATATTGTATATAATTTGTAAATCCAGGGGCAATTTTAGAGCAAGAGCACCCACGGGCCAAAATGAGGAGTGAGACCCTTCACAGCAGCCACAAACATGGTTCTACAGTCTCAGGAGGAGCCATCTACCTCTTCAGCCACATGTTCATTTGCAGGACGAATCAGGTGTGTGTGTGTGTGTGTGTGTGTGTGTGTGTGTGTGTGTGTGTGTGTGTGTGTGTGTTTTTGCATATTTTTAAAAATATTTTTGTAAACACGAAAAAAAACCAACACGTATACGAATGACAATACCATTTTCTCTTTATTAGAAATCCCACCAAGTCCTGTGCCTGATGATGAGCCTCTCTGTCTGCTAACCCTGCTAATTGGACTTAAGTTCTGACTGACAGAATTTGGACGCACCTGAATTTTAGAGGACCGATGAAGGTACCGGCTGACTGCTTCCTTTCAAATTGACCATAAAACAATTATGAAATGAAGAAAATGTTCCATTTTATACTTAAAAGTGTGTCACATGGCCTGGTGGTCCAGTGGTTAGTGCATCACCCTCACAGTGCAGAGGTTGTGGGTTGGATCCCGGCTCCGACCTTCCTGTGTGCAGCTTGTTTGTTCTCCCCGTACCTGCGTGGGTTTTCTCTCACATTCCAAAAACATTCATGGCAGGTTCATGGAAAATGCTAAATTGTCCGTGGGTATGAGTGTATGAAGTCTTGTTTTAAAGCACACTGCATTTTGTCCTGGTTCATTTTTGGGCTCTTTTGTCACACTTTTGGACAACACTTTCAGAGAACCACCCCTACATATACTATATGAATAAATTCTTCTGTCATTGAGAGTTTGTTCGCCAGATGAGCGTTTTTTTTTTGGGAGGGGGCGTTTCTGTGTAGATTTTTTCCATCCAACTTTTAAATGCGTCGATATCGTAACTTGGTGTTCTATATATGCAACTTACATAATGCATTTTTCTGTTTTTTCCATAGATATTTCGACTGTGACACATTCTGCAAAAATGTCCACGACCTCTGTTATTCGACCAACAAAACAATAAATCTTGGCGATATTCAAAGCAGCCCCACCTTCTTTCCTGTTTTATATTTTAGAAATAATTTCCTATCCATCACTTTAAAAATCCATGCGTCTTTCAGTTTCTGATGCAGCAATTATGTTAAAGAGTTATGTGAACTCAGTTAGACAAGATTTGATATTATGGAAGTTGGCATATATTGTAGTCTTCTGCCGGTGTTATAATGTTCATTTATGTAATAATTGCAGGAATTATTAAACGCATGAAAGAACTTATTTATCTTGGTTAGTGTCATTTTTTTTGTCCTGTGAGTGATGTTTAGTGTAATGAAAAGTACTTACCGTGCTTCCAATTATTATTTTGAGCAATTTTTTGTGTTCATTGGGTGTCATCAGTACACTGAAAAAAAATGGTGTTTGGATTTACAAATTTTATTTCATCAAGTGGTCACCAAAAATAAGATCGTCTGAATCCAGATTTATTTTATCAGTAGACTACTACTACGACAAAAAATGGGGCGTCCAGATGATTTTATTTTATGCAACCACTTAAAATTCAAAACATTTTTTTTTTTCATGAATGGAGCTCCTTTTACCTTTGAGATGGTTGGCTTGTGGGAGAATCGTTGCTTGATCTTTCAATTTCAGTAGTTTTACATCCACGTGCCTCGGTCTGCCCCTTCCTGGTTTCCCAGTGCGGCGAGCCATCTCTGTTTCAAATTCTTGTTGTGCAGTATCTTAAGTTTCTCGGTCAGGACCTTCTTGAGCGTTTCTTCTGTTATAGTCCAATTTTCTTCAGGTGCCTCAGGAAACCCATCAAACACCCACCTCCTTCCTCTTTTACTGGCTTTTCATCTTAGCTTGTTTTTTTTGCTGTCTGTTTTTAAGTCATCCGCTTCTTTTCGAGTGTATTTTAAATGTGATTTTATTTCACATATGATCCTTTTAAGCGCATCGAGTCTATTATTTGTTAAGTCCATGAGCTTACAATGGAAAAGAAGACGTCAGACAATCGGATTCTGACTCAGCCGTCTGACAGAACAAGTCTCACCGGAAACCGCAAAGTCGAAGAGCAGGATGTACACTTTTCTGTTTTTTCATGAGCGAGTCATTTTCATTTTATGTCTGTTTTTTTTTTCTCTCGTATGAATCGTAGAGATAGTGTCTGCTAAAAAGGCCAAATACACAAAACAATGAAAAACGTCAAAATGACTGCACAGACAGCTGCGGACAGCCAGGGCAGCCTTCATTGGAAAATATGAAAATGTTATCTATTACAAGGCTATCCAAGTACACCACTCAAGGAACTTTGATAAGATCTAATGGAACTTTTCAAAATAAAATATCTGGAATTTGCAGACATTACGTGACTGTCCTGACCTCAGATTGACATAATAAACTCTGTTTCCACTCAATTATTCTTCTTTGGACGCCAATCCGCTTACACTTTTGGGAGGTGCTAAAATAGATTGGAATTCAATTCATTAAAATATTTTCTCTTTTTTTCCAGATCCGTCTAATTTGGGATTTGCATCCCAGAACGCTATTCGTGTTTCCAGCTGGTGTCAACCGTCTGAAGCAGAATGGTTTTGGGAAATAAACACCTGACACGTCACCATGTACTGGTAAAACAAACAAAACAAATGACTACCGGTATTTGTTATTGTAGCAAGCGTCTCTACCCTTTACCAAGGATCAATTTAAACACATGAACTGTTTTGATCGGATTGTTCACAAGAGTACTCAAATACTGCTGGTGGTGGTCTGCGCTGTGAGTGTCATTTTGTTGATTTTATTGAATTGGATTGGCAAAATGTACAACGGACGTTTGATCCTTGAATCGACCAATAGATGTCCTGGTTCAATTAGAGCTGGTGTTCAAACAGTCGTCCTCATCCTGCTGTTCACATTTTGACATCATGAGACCAAGACGACACCTAACAATGGATCAACAGTACCTTGCCATTGTGATGTTTCAAACGGGACCTTCTTCGATGGAAGTGGCCACTGAGGTCAGAGTGCCACAGAGTGTCATCAGCAGGTTGCAACACAAATACCAAAAGACCGAAAGAGTCAGAGAAAGATGTAGAAGTGGACATCCTTTGCGCACATCCCATGCTGATGACTGCTACATTGGGAGCAATGCCCTGAGACACCCGATGATGAATGCCACTCAACTCCAGGCACATTTAAGGGAGGTGAGAAGCACCCAAGTGTCACGTCAGACCATTCAAAACCGCTCACATCAGCGTGGTCTGCGTACTAGACGACCTGCAAGGGTATCTGACCACACCTCCAGGCACGAGCGTTATCGTCTTGCATGGGCCAGGGAGCATTTACGCCGGCCGAGCGACCAATGGGCCTCAGGGCTGTTCTCTGATGAAAGTCGATTCACGTTGAGCAGAGTTAATGGCCGCCAATGATGTTGGAGACGTCAAGGAGAGCGCTATGCATCAGCCACTGTTGTCACCAGACGAGCTTTCGGTGGTGGTGGTGTTACTGTATGGGCAGGTGTGTCCAGTCGGTCCAGAACTGCCCGACACTTTCTGACAAGCGCATACTACCTGAATAACATAATTCATCCAGTGATTGTGCACCTAAAAGAACAACACGGGCCTAATTTCATTTTCATGGACCCCAGTGCTCCAGCTCATCGAGTCTGCAATATCAGGGAACGGCTGTTGGAGACTGGTGTACCTCAAATGGAATGGCCTGCACTTTCAGCAGACCTGAATCCTATTGAAAACCTGTGGGATCAGCTGAGTCGCTGTGAAGAGGCTCGAAACGCTGCACCCCAAAACCTTAATGACTTGAGGGCTACCCTTCAAGAAGAGTGGGATGCAATGCCTCAACAGGGATGAGATTTTTCTGCTTTTTGGCGGAATTCCGCTTTTTTCCAGTCAAAATGGAACTTTTTATATTGTTCCAAATCCGTTGAGAAAATTTTAGGGGCGGGGGGTAGGGTCTGGTGTTATTTCTGGGGTGCCAGACTTACTTGTCTTCGGCAGACTCGGGACTCGCAATGTTTGTAAAAGTTTGCAAGCATCCATTTTGAATACCGTTTTTTCTCGCGAAGCGTTCGTTTGTCGTTACTTCGTATTTGGGCTCAAACCAATGTCTTACTTGTTGTGATTGGTCGCTATATCGGCAAATGCAGAATCACAACCAATCCGTGTTCGCTTTCCTAAACCCCTTTCTCGCGAATGCCGAATGTTATCGAGACTCGTGACGAAGCTAAAGTGCGTCAGGTCATGCGGATCTGAAAAACAAGTTTCGATGGGACTGGTTGGATCGAAAGCTGGCGGTGTCCCCAATAGGAACCAGTAAAGAGGAACCATTGTCTGTGCTTGTGTCAGATTTCGTGAAAAAGCTCGATGTCGCTGGTAAAGCTCTGTGTACAGTGTGTGACGATGTCATTCTATTCTACGGATCGAGAGGATGGAAAGCTTTACAGAGTCATGCAACACTACGGTCAAGCCAGCCTGCACTCGCAGAATCGAAGTCAAGTGAGCCGCCACTGCGATTATCAATACTGTGCCTTACGGTAATCTGTCGCCCGCGAGCGGCGTTGGCCACCTTCAAAATAAAAGCGCCTCCACTAATGCATAAACGTAATTTGTTTGGGTTAAAAGAAATGAATAAAGATATAAAATAAGTAATTTCTTGTCTGTCGGGTAAAGATTCACCGAGGAAGAACAAGAACTCTCAGAACAGCACCAATAAGCGTTCTCAAGTGGAGATCGAAAATAAAATCAATGGTAATTCTACATATATTTCACTTGATATTAAAAAAAATCAATCTGGGTGATTGCGCAACCACACCAGGTTGTCGACACACTTGGGCACGCCAGGTATACAACCACAGTACTGGCATTCAGATCGAATGTTCCATTAACAATTCAAATGCCTCTCAAATATGACATTTTGAGCTCCTCTCCTTATTGACCTGATTTCTGACAAGCTGATCTGAACGCCGAACATGTTGACATTTTCGACCGTTTTAAAAAAAAAATCTTGTGCTGTAGTTATCCCCAGACTTATAGCCCTTACGGGATAACAAAGATTCAATTTTTAAGATTTTTTTTCAAAACGGTCAAAAATGTCAACATGTTCCCCCAGACCTACAGCCCTCACGGGATAACAAAGATTCAATTTTTAAGATTTTTTTTCAAAACGGTCAAAAATGTCAACATGTTTGGCGTTCAAATCAACTTGTCGGAAATAAGGTCATATTTTCCCTTTTCGGAGGCCTTTTATTCCCAAATGCAACATCGGATTCGGACGAAAGTGGTCGGGTTGGATAGCAGGAGTGTTGTAGTTATCCCGTGACCTACAGTCCTCACGGGATAACAAAGATTCAATTTTTAAGAATTTTTTCAGAACGGTCGAAAATGTCAACATGTAAGGCAACTTTTCTATCTCCACTTGAGAACGTTTTTTTGTGCTGTTCTGAGAGTTCTTATTCTTCCGGAGTGAACGTATCGTTAGCTGACAGCCAAGAAATTACTTATTTTATATTTTTATTAATTTCTTTTAACCCAAACAAATTAGGTTTATGCATTAGTGGAGGCACTATTATTTTGAAGGGGGCCAACGCCACTCGCTGGCGGCAGATTACCGTAATGCACAGTATTGAAAATCGCAGTGGCGGCTCACTTGACTTCGATTTTGCGAGTGGAGGCTGGTTTGACCGCAGTCACGCAACCTCGGTAAAACACCGAAAACAGACATTTCTACTGAAAATTGACTACTCGATCTCAAGCGCTTTTTGACAGTCTGCTCGGACTCCCACTCTGGGCGCCAGCGGAACCTATGAAAAAACAAGAGGAGTTGGCTAAAAACAGAGTGAAAAAGACGGAGAGGACCAACAAGCTTTTAGCTCTTGCTAATAAGCTTAAAATGAAGAGAAAATAAAAATTATACACCATGAAACTGTACATAGTTGTATATACTGTAAATAGACAAACACTTTATGGGATAAAATGCATTCATAACCCATATATAGTAAACAGTTTGGGACTTCAGGATCACTGTATGAGGTAAGAATCAACAGCTTTTTATCACATTTACACAACGTTTTATGAATACAAGTAATGAACAAATCTTAAATATGGCAGAGAATGTCTTTCCTTTTTTAGTTTTGATTTTGAGCAGCAATTTTGAAGTTACATGTTGGTGCTCACCAGGAATGCATAAGCAAAATTTCACAAAGGCCTATGTCAAATTTTCACTTGAAAGAATAGTGAACAATCTTGGGATTTTTTTTTTGGTAAAAGTTTCAAGTAGTGTGTACATCGAATACACTTCATCTTTAGCATGTTTAGTATAAAGTGCCAATTTTGTAAGCAAATAGGGAATGGTATTTCAACAAAAATTGTATAATTTTGTTAAAATTAATGGTTTTAAGGCTTCTACAAGCCTACAAAATCCATAAACTAATGTATGTACCCCAAATAAACTTCTACTTTAGTGTGACGTGTCAATTTCATATCCAACTAGAGGATGGTATTTCAACAAAAAAAATGTAAAAATTTTGTTGATAAAATTAATGGTTTTAAGGCTTTAAAATCTCTAAAACCCATTAGCTTCCGGGGGGTTTGCCCCTGGGCCCCCATCCGGACCGTTGCCCCTGGACCTGCGGCCCCCAGACCGCCGGTTCATTTTCAGATTTTTTCATCACTAGCCACTCTCATCCCTGCCTCAGCAGACAAGAAGTTGACTTGTGAACAGCATGAGACGTTGTCGTCAAGATGCAATTGATGCTCACGGGCACGTGACGAGTTCTTGAGACGTTGACTTTTTTCGTTGTGGTCTACCCACCATTGTTGTTCACTTTTGTTTCAGTTACCGGTAATTGTTTGAGATGAGGAAATGACCTGATCATCCTTCTACTTAAATGTCCTACTTTCATGATATGATATCGCTGTAGCGTGAACTTTTTACATTTTCCATTAATGTCACCTGAAAGCCAAATATCCTGAACTTTTTTGTGAGTAGTGTATGTACAGCATTGCACAGAAGTTAGGACACCCCTCACATTTTTGTAATTATTGTGTGAAGGAGGCGGCCCGGGGGTCGAATCATTAGCGTGTTGACCTCATGGTGCAGAGGTTTCGGGTTCAATTCCAGCTCCGGCCTTCCTGTGTGGAGTTTGCATGTTCTCCCCGTGCCTGCATGGGTTTTCTCCAAGTGCTCTGGTTTCCTCCCACATCCCCAAAACATGCATGGCAGGCTGATTGAACACATTCCAATTTGTTCCAAAAATTAATGCTTTGTGGCTTAATATTTTTCTCACTCCAAAAATTCAATTTTCCCCAAATTCTGCATTTTGAACCCAACATTCTCCAGACAGTACCAAGGGGACTTTTGACGTGACGGATTCCCATTTTTCCCATTTGAAATTCAAAACATTCAGCGTTCAAAACATCGTATTTAAAAGTTTTAAGATCACTGAATAATTCTGCTCCCATCATTTCTTACATAATTTTAATTAGAAATCCAAACAAAATGAAGGTCAAGCATTCAAGCTATACGAGTATACAGTAAAAAAAAAAAAAAAAAAAAAGAACAGCAACAACAAAACAATTCTGGGTGTCTGATCTGCGCTCTAATAAGCACTGTTGTCTCTTCCATAGCTCATTCTGACATATGTCTTCAGAGTTGATACACTTGAATGTCATCAAACTGAGTATCAGCTCAACGAGAAGCAATGTTGTCCAAAGTGTCCAATTGGTAAGACCATTTATCCATTTTTCGTTAGTTCAAGATGCTTGAAGCAACCAAGCATAATGGTTTTCCACAATTTTGATCGTAAATTAAAAACAAAAATCTTTTTCTGGTCAGAAATTTTTGCAAAGCTTCAATTCTCAGCAGCTGCACGAAAACAATTCAAGTTTAGGTTTAGAAAATGTTCAATGACATCTGAAAATGTTTTAGCGCTGTCACGAGCAAAGACAGGCCAAAGAGAGATGGGAGAGCCTCCAGCACGTCTGTGACCCCTGTGAAAATAAGCTATTGATTAGCTGATTTATTAGAACACCTCTAAAATGTTTAATAACTGTGCTGCTGTCAATTTTTTATTCTAATTTTATTAAGATGGAACATTTCTAATAATTTTCATTGGTAAACCCTCATTGCCGAATGTTATTTTGAATTTTTAAAATGATGTGAACTTGATGTTACATGTTTTGTGAGCTATTATTCTACTATTCACTGATATTCTTGGTAATTGTCCAATCTATGGCCTGGGGGTCATTTGCAGTCCAATGTTTGTTTTAGAAGCCAGTGACGTGCAAACTTGAACAATTCCCATGTCTCATCCTGCTTCATTTAGAAACTGGGTGGCTAGACACGTAGTTCAGGGGAAGCAGCTTGAAATGTGTAGGTGTCGAAACCTTTCGTCGGGTCCGATGCCCCTGAATACTGCTACTATTGCCCATGTTAATAATTCTGAAAACATTTACTACTACTACTGCTGCTACTACCACTACTTCTAATAATAACTACAGCTCAGACGAGCACCCAAAATCCGCATTTGATGTTCATTTACAGTTTAAAGGGAAAGTCAAGTCAAATATTTTCACGCGAATAAAATGTTGTATGCGCCCTCTCTAGTCTAAACACATCTCTCTGATCAATATTGTGTTTGTAGAATATGAATTAAGAAGAAAAATCCATCTGTTTTTATTCATCTCAGCGGGCAGCTATTTTGCCTCGTACTGCGACTTTCTGTTGACTGAAGCTTTCTGAACATGACATTACGCTGATGTCAGTGACAAAAGTCAAGCCCATTTTCTTTTGCTACTCTGTATTCTTGGTGGGTTCACAAGCAAGCTTGCGGTATAACTGTCACCTGTACTGAAAATTTTGATTGGTTTTTGTTTTTGTTTTTTAGACAATAACGTGAAAAGAATGCATTTGAGTAGGGTTGTTTAGCTGACATTGATCACTATAATACTTTGTTGCTGAAGGAAGTCACATGAGTTGTCCATCAAGGTATGTACAAAATATTTCTGCCTATAACACATGGGGTTAAACGATGAACAGAATCGCACTTTGGTGCTTTGACCTTTGAAAAAGCGTTTGCGAGAATGATGGAACATTTTTTTATCATGATTATTCGAGATGACTGCCAGGTTCGGTTTCACATAGAAAGCGAAGATGTTGGTAAAGTATAGGCCACCTGGATGCTGTAGGTCCTTCCAGGGACTCTCAGTGGTAAACAGTCAGACTTCTTTGGGGCTGCACATTGTACTTACCTGTGCTTCTGAGGGAAACAAATTCTCCTGTTGAGTGACTTGTAATTTTGTGGTCATTAAAATGACTCCTTCTACACAGTACTTGTGTACATCTCTGCATCTGCTCTTTCTAACAGGAAGTCAGGTTAGGAGCGACTGCACCAAACGTGGCAGCACATCATGCCAGCTGTGCCTGAACGGAACCTACATGAATATCCCGACTGGCCTCAAAAACTGCTTGCCGTGCACAAACTGCAATGCAGGTAAACCTCATGTTATGTTTTCCGATTATTACTAAATATGCTTTCCCAGCTGTAGATTCGGGTGTGTAGAACATTTTCTAAATGGAGGTGAACATGCATTTTAGCGGGAACCGCTCAAGTGGGATACACACACACACACACACACACACACACACACACACACACACACACACACACGCACACGCACAAAGAGGGGGTAGAACATCTGGTGGAATGGAGCAAAGATAACTTTTGCATCAATGTGAAGAAGATGCAAGAAGACGAAGGAGATGGTGGTGTACTTCAGGAGAGCTCACTGTGCCATGGGAAATTGCTATTTAGGAGCCAGCAAGCGACAGAGTTTTAATTATGCTGAGATGGCCAGCCAAGGTCCTTGCTGGAATTATATTCGAGAGGATGAAGTTGTTGAAGAGGTTGGACCTCAACTTTTGATAGACAGGCTTCCTGTCGAAGAGATCTGGAGTGGAACTCTCCCTCTATATCAGGGGTGGCCAATCAGTCAGAGACGAAGAGCCAATTTTTTTACTGAGTTACTGCAAAGAGCCACATCATACCCTTACTCGCGCACACACACACACACACACACACACACACACACACACACACACACACATACACACACACACACACACACACACACACACGCGCGCGCTCGCACTCACACAGGTGCCCACCAGTGCACTCGCGCGCACACCACGATGAGCAACAGTTGGAATGGGCGGAAAATGAATGAAAGCTCAAGATACAAACAAACAAATCTTTTTTCCCCCCTGCATTTCCTCCTCCCACCCCTTGCGGTCGACTTGGGACCAGTTTGCTGGCTCCCAGTCGATTCTGATCCACGTATTGGGCACACCTGCATTAAAATCAGAGGTAATTCGCTGACTAGCTGAGCACTTGGCGCCGTTGTTTGCACATGAGCGGTGATGCAGTTATCTGATTGGTTGCCCTCTATGTCAATCAAGTTACAGGATTGATGATAGGCTGACTAGCTTAGCGCTTAGCGCCGTTGTTTGCGCATAAGCGTGATGCAGTCATCTGATTGGTTGCCCTCTATGCCAGTCAAGTAACGGGATTGATGATCGGCTGACGGAGAACGTTCTGTGAAGTTGGCGCCTTGTTTGAATGGCATCGCCACTGACGAGGCGTTTTCGACGCTTGTTGTGTGAGAGCCCGGGAGCCGCATTGAACCAGCCAAAGAGCCGCATGTGGCTCGCAGGCCGCGGGTTGGCCACCCCTGCTCAAAATCAACTTCGTAGAAGAACAAAAAAGTCTTTCAATCATGTGTTCAGAGATACACTGTGGAACAAGAGAAAATGACCTTTGTTATCAAGTTCACCAATCAGGAACTGTCTTCTAATGCACCTTGTCTTCCTCTGGGTCATCGACTGGATCACGAAGACCTCCTCCATAGAATTAAACAAAAGAACACAGTGAACTCTGAAGACACAGCTGGATGATCTTGACTCTTCTGATCTGACCTATACTGCGACACTTGACTCACTGCCACAACTAGAGACAAGACCATTTTCATAGAGCGAACATCGGCAGTGATGGGGCACTGGATCATCAATCAGATGGACGTCAAGGAGATCAACGCTAATGTCAGCAAGAACACTAGTCATGGTGTGTGGAGACTCCATCAGGGAGATTTAAGCAACGATTAAATACACCTAAATAACAGTAGTAAATACGACTGCAACTGTCCTTTGTCGAAACTACAGGTGTCAAATTCAGTTCAGGGGCCAGAGCCAGTGCAACACATCACATCTAGCCCACTGAAACAAATATTGTTTCTGCTTCATGTTTCAAGCCGAACAGATTTGTTCTTTTCATTTTGGTTCTTGAAAATATACTGTATTGAATATGGTGGAACAGTGGACGTCTGTTTAGCACGTCTCCCACATTCCAAAAACATGCATGGTAGGTTTATGGAACACCCGAAATTGTTCCTTGGTGTGATTGTGAGTGTGAATGGTTGTTTGTCTACGTGTGCCCTGCAATTGATTGGGAACCAGTTCAGGGTGTCCCTTGCCGACTGCCCGAAGGCTCTGAGAGACTCTGGCACACCCGTGACCCTCGAGTGGGTAAGCGGCTTGGATAATGGATGGATATTATACCGATAAATGCAGGGGCCAACAATGTGCCATCACTCAGTTAATATGCTGGAAAAAAAAATTCAAATTTACTGTCATTATTGATAAAAAATTGTTGAATGTAATAATTTGCTGAGGTGATTATACCCTTATATGGTTTTCACAGCGGTCGCAACTCCCTGAGGGAAATGATAACTACAATTTTGAGACCAAACTGTGGCTTGCTGTTTGCTAGCCTTCGTCCAATTTTGCCGAGCAGCCTATTTTTTGTTGTTGTTGTTTAAAAAAAAAATACCTGTACATCAGTAAAATGCCTATATATGTGTTCCTCACTTGTTTATACTCCCTTCTCTTACTACTCTTTTTCAGATTTTGCCATTATATTTGAAGAATTTCAATCACTAGAACTTCACTCGTGCATAGAAATAATCCTTTTCCACATTGCATGCGCTGCCTTTTTTCCTCATATACTTTCTGTCTTTCTGCATGTATTTGTCTCTTGGCATGGTCATCCAGTCCTCTACGTTCTCCTGCACACCCGAGGCTCAGTCATGAACAGGTCCTACAGTCTAAAGATGCTTGCAGAAACCGTTCTGTTCACAGTCTTGGCATAAAAACAAGACCATTATTACCAGTGTTACCAACATCATGTTTAAGCAAATCTCTGCCTTCTTCCAGATTTCATACTGTTACTATGTTTAGGTGCAAGGACCGTCCTGTTCAGTTTGCCTCGTCTGATTTCATCTGGTTCCCACGGTCTTCCCTCAATTGTCGTCAGTTTTAAATCATCACCCAAGGATCACAGAACCTACTCTGCGCCAAGCTACAATTGTCATATAACAGTAACAACTTCAGCTGCATTTCCTCTGAGACCCATTTGCATCGTTTACATATGAAAAAATAGTTACCATGTTTCCTCAAATAATCACTGCTACTTTGTTTTTTGCATGGCAAAAAATGTGTGTGATGCAATTCTGTTGTTCTTAAAGTGTCGAAAAAATAATCATCCTCTTCTCAAATTTTAACTTTCTCATCGTTTGCCTACTTTAATGTTAAATATTATCCAAAAAATATTAACATCAAAGTAACTCAAGTAAACATACAATGAAGTTTTTAAATAATGATTTTATTTATGACAGAAAGCAAATATTCAAAACTACCTGTTCTTGTGTGCAAAACTACTTGCCCCTGTAGATAAATTATGTATTAACTGCAATAAATCGCTTTATTGGGGGAGAACCCAATTTCATTTTCTATGACCACACCCAAGCCCGACTGCCTCCAGACTTGTTCAATCAAATCAACTTCTAATCTTGACGTGAATTCATTTGAAATGCTCTGGCATCACACTTCAAGACCCTCCAATCTTGTTGAATTCACACAATTCTGCAAGCAAGACTGGCCCAAAATATCGCCGCCGAGAAGAGACTCATTGGCAGTTACGGGAAAGGCTTGATTTAATTTGTTCTTTTTGAGGGTGGCCCAACCACATACTAATTGTAGGGGGACAAGTACTATTTTGTATATGGTCAGCTCTCTTGGAATATTTTTTTTCTTACTAAACAAAATCACCACCGAAAAAAAAACCTTTATTTTAGCCTCATTACTTGGTTGATCACAGCTGTTGTTAAAGTGCGATATAAATAAAGATGGATTGCATTGTAGCGTAAACATTCAAGTGGGTAAACTATTAGGGAAGCAATGGTTTCAAAATCGCACAGAACTTATACAGTAGCGTGAACCTTCCTGCAATACTGTGAGGCTTCTTGATACACCGTAAGATTTCCCATAATAACACAAAAATTATCATGCCGTGAGATTAATACTGTGACCAAGCCGAGGTTTAGATATCGTTACATGCCCGCTGATACGATTAAGATATTTTTAGAAGGAAAAGCAGGGTTTGCCAAATGAAAATGTAATTTTGTCACTTCCCATGGCATTATCGCAACAATTTTGAACAACAATTTCAGTGACAGAAGGAATGAAAAAAAGAACTGCATTTCTAGTTTTATTTTACAAAATTACTGTTTGAAGATATAGTAAATTGGAATTCAGTATTGATGTGCGAGAGTATGACGTTTTATGGGGTATTAGCCTACCTGTTTTTATATGACCTCACCTAGCAATGTGTGTATGTTGATTGTATGTTTTGCGTCCTTTTTTTTGATGCACTGTTGCTCACTGTGGTTCTAGGATCTGGTCTGGCGATAAAGAAGGCGTGTACCAGGGAGTCAGACGCAGTGTGTAAACCACTTGATGGCTTCTTCTGTGTGGACCAAGATGGGGACGGCTGCCTTGAAGCACGGAATCACACAGACTGTCGACCAGGACAATACATAAGCCAACAAGGTTAATTTCTTACTTTAGGGATAGAGAACTCCGGTTACTTGAGAGCCATATCCTGCCTGTTTTAGATGTCGCTCTTTTCAACACGTCCGGTTGTATAGTTACTGTATACAATACCACAAACTTTGAGGTTGTTACTCCTTGTTGCCAATATATAAAAATATTTACCGCTAATACAATACAAGCAAAGTGCAGATACAAGCATGATTGCAACATTGATCGGCATTATTGGACATCGTAAAAGCCTGAAATGATCATGAGCAATTGAATCGAGTATTTTGGAGTCGCCGAAGATCTAAAACAGGCAGGGTCTGGCTCTCGAGGAATCGGAGTTCCCGACCCCTGTCTTACTAGTTGCTTGCAGTTGCCCACAACTTCATGAACAAAATGAAATTGCCTGCTCTGTTTTCGTTTCTAAAGTTTATTGTCAGGACTCACTCTATACTCAACAACTCTTAAAACATTAGGATATTTTTCGATCAGATTCAGAATCACCTTTATAGTCACTGTATACAATACCACAAACTTTGAAGTTGTTACTCCTTGTTGCCTGTATATAAAAATTATTTACCGCTAATACAATACAAGCAAAATGCAGGTAAAAGCATGATTGCAACATTGATCGGCATTATTGGACAGAAGTTTATTGCACAGATCAGGGGTTATTGTACGCCTGGTTGATGATTAAGACAGTTCTAAGAACAGTTTCTAAGGTAATGATTTAGAGTTCTTTATTGTAATGATAGCTTTGAGAAAGAACCGAGCTCTCAGACCAACCGCCAACTGCCAGCCATGAGAGACAAAATTCTCCGGTCTGAATAGTGAACATTATATTTGGAGCAAACCAGGCACCTCTAACCAGTTGGTCAATACCATCCTTGCAGTGAGGATGATCTCCAGCTACAATGTGCAAAGACTTCCTGGATGAAAACCAGTTCCGGAGCGCTCTCAACCTCAGGTTGGGGCTGAACTGAGGAGTTTTATAGTCTGTTGAGGTGTCTGTGATTGCACTTGTAAATTCGGATGTGAGCTGCCCTTACTTAGTGCCAGGAGAGAGGCCTGAGAACACACTTGATGAAATAATGTCATTGATATTTGCAGGAACACCATTTACAGACACCATATGTAAAGACTGCATTGGCGGCACCTTTTCGAATGGTACATTTTGTCAGCCACACACAAAGTAAGTGAAGCTTCGCATTCACTTGCCGGCTTTGAGCTACACTGAAAAAAGTTTTTGTTGAATTTACTCAATTTGATTTTACCAAGTGGCGGCATGAAATAAAATCATCTGGATGCAGGTAATTGTTTTTAAGGTGACT